TAATGAAGATAAAAAATAGAAATAAAAAGCACAATTGTTTTTGTTTCCCTAACCTTATCATGAAGGTGAATCCTTGCACTCTTCTCAGTGCACCTACTTCGATTAAATTGCCCTTAATTATGGCTCATAGAAAATTTCATGCCGTAATAGCATCTGCAAATATGAAAGCATTAAATCTTAAGACACTATATTACCTTTACATGCTCCTAGTAATTAACTCTAGCTAGACACGCTTAAATGTTTTTAATTTTTTTTCAGGATCTAGCTTCCATATTCGTTGGATTTTCTCCTATAAGGATTGCCTTGAGTTTTTTTATTTTTCCCATGAAAATAAATACGATATTAATGGTTACTTCTAGCAAAAACTGATAACGTGCTTTTAAGCCCTTCATATTATATAAAATATTAGATTTTCATAAGAAACAATATACCATAACAATCAATATGCAAATTGATTCGAATACAAATTCAATTAAGAAAATATACAAATTCAAGATGTATGCCAATAAAAGGGAATCAAGTCCTTTCCATTTTTTTTTTTTTAAAAAAACCCCTAAAGTCGGGGAAAGAGAAACTTTAATTTCATCCATTTTGAAACCATTGGATAATTAATTAGCTGTAAGAAAAATTATATTATAATCGCTATTTACACACAAATTAGTTCCTAAATGTTCTTTTCTTCTCAGAGAACACTCACCACTTGACCAAGGTTTCTTCTTAATATTAAGTGTGAATCGTGATCCTAAAAATTTTAATTTTTTTATTTAAAATATTTTTTTTATATTTTTAAATTGTTTTCATATGCTAATATCAAAAATAATGTTTTTACAATAAAAAAATTATTTTTATTGCATTTCTAAATGAAAAATATTTTGAACTGTCACTACTACCACAATTACAAATAAGTTCAAGTTGTTAGAATATGTTTGGAATTACGGTGGAAACTATATTTTTTAAATTTTAAAATATTTTTTTGTTAATTTTTTTATATTTTTAAATTATTTTAATGTATTGATTTCAAAAATAATTTATTAAAAAATAAAAAAATATTATTTTAATATATTTCTAAACTAAAAAATATTTTATATTGCAACTATTATCACAGTTACAAAACACACTCATAGAAAGACATATATAGATGCATGAAACATGCACTGCCTTTCTCGCACACATTATATACATATAAAAGATAAAGTTAGTAATAAATTCGTCCTTGTAGTTTATCAAAACTAATTAACAAGTCCTTGTAGTTTATCATAAATTATTAATATAATCTCTTGAATAATGTTGACCGTCCTGAGTTTAGTAATTGTTTGTTTAAAAACTACCTCTTCTCTCAGGGTCAAATTTCCTCACTTTACCCAATTATCTTTTCTTTATTCCATCATCCAAGAAAAAGAAAAGGAAAATAAATTGAAAAGTCACATGAAATTTACAAAAGAACTAAATTATAAAACAAATAAAAAATGCAGGGATTAAATATATAGTTTCTAAGACCACGAGGATCACGTAATTACTTTTATTAAACTATAAGGACTACGTTAAAATACTCATAAAAGATAGGAAAAGAAAAGGGTAGCCTAAATTATGCGGAAAATAAAACTCCATGATTTGGGTCAAAAGCTGGCCAAGTATGGTAAGTTCGGTAATTAATCGCGGGAAATCTGATAAAAAGGTTGCCACTCTCATCTTTTACCTCCATATAATACCTAAAGAGAGATCAAGTAGCTCTCTCTCTCTCTCGATGTCTATCTTCCTTCCTCGGCTTCTCCATTTCTTTCTTATAAACAAACGTCTTAATTCTCTAGCGGTCGCACAGTTATAGACAAAGATAAAAGATCCAAGGCAAAGCACCGCACCCCACTGAGTAATATTGTCGAATTTTTATATCCACTGTGGTGATATATTTTTAATTGATAATAGTCTACGTTTCTTGTCGGCCTGCATTAATTTATCTCTAAATGATGCACATGCATTACAAACCAAGATGCATGAGACATTTATAGAGGAAACCCATGTATATATGTGTTTTGTGAAGAACTTTTTAGCTAGTGGTGAAGCTGCAGGCCGGCTGCTGAGAAACAAACAGATTACAGATCCCTTTCTCTTTCTTTCAGCTGGATTCTCATGCTCAGATGATCATATAATAATATATAACGTGGATTACAATATGCATGGTTCTGTACCCTTTTTTCTTATAATAATGTAGATTGATATAAGCAATGCGCTCGAGAGACCGTGGCAGTGCCTGAAAAGCAGTGTTTCTTCTTGTTTTAGTTAAATATTCTATGTCTTTGTATGTGTATTTTTAATTAGTTCAAACTAATTAACGTACAGGAGAAGATCGAAAAGAATGGAAGCATCATCTGGAATACCCCTCCAAAGTGGTAGTGGGGCTGGAGGAGAAGTGAGACGTATTCATATCATTTACTTTCTCAGCCATAATCTGGGCCGTTTTGAGCATCCCCATCTCATTCGAGTTCATCATTTCAATCTAAATGGTGTTTATTTAAGAGGTAATTTCCTCATACTTTCAAGTAATTTGCAAAGGTTTTTGATTTTTATATAGTTACTTACTATGAAAATTAATATTTAAGATAGATGTCAAGAGGTGGCTTGCGGATTTGCGAGGAAAAGACATGCCAAAAGCCTTTGCTTGGTCCTATAAGAGGTTTGTTCTATTCTGTACAGCAATATATATCTGGTAATTAATGGTGATTTTATAGGTTTTTTAAAAAATTAAATTAAATTAAACAGGAGATACAAGAACGGTTATGTCTGGCAAGATTTACTGGATGATGATCTGATTACCCCAATCTCTGACAATGAATATGTCCTCAAAGGATCTGAAATTTTCACCCCTCCTGCCAATCCCTTCGGTACGTAAAATATCCCTTATAACTAGCTAATATCTTCTTGATGCTACGTTTTCTTTTCAAGGAAAAAACCAGCAATTTTTTTTTTCATTTGATTTAATGTCCAAATAATCATGTGATTTCAGCACTAAATCCCATTTATCTTCTTGTCCCTGGAAAAACTATACAGTTGGTAGTGCATATGGTGAAAAGAAAGCTGCTGACTTGTTGATGAAAAGTGAAAATGATAGCCAAGTTGAGAATACTGAAGTTGAAAACAGAGCACAAGATCATGAGCAACTTCCTTCACCAAACCAAATTTGCGACGACACCACCCCCCGAAAGACAACATCATCTGAAATATCTCAAGAATCACCTGTATTCAGTTCAGAGATTTCAACAGTAACTGACGATTCCATCAAGGAAGAAGAAGATGCATGCAAACCCAACGACCCTCTTGAAGAAGAACAGATAGACATTAAGGTGGAACATTCATCTTTTTACACCAATTTCTTGGGCAGCAAGAGCAAGAAGAACCAAAAGAAAAGGATAGACAACAACGGCAATATTGAAAAGATGGGCACCCCAAGTTCATTCTCCTGGCTATCGTCATCAACATCATCATCATCACAAGCTACATTTGCGAAGAGTAAGAGCTATTCAAGTGGAACATCCAAGATGCTACGTAATTTGATGACATGTGGTGCTGTTGACACAAACGATGCTGCATTGGTTCGCCAAGACCAAAAATGTAATAGTAAATATAAACCAATCGAAAAGCCGGCTGATCAGATTTGTGAAGGACAGGTACTTGGAGGGCCTGCCAGAGTTTTTGCGACTTCGTGGGATCAACAAATACAGCAACACGATATTGCTAATGCAAGGTATTTTGGCAAAAAAATTGGTACTAGTACTCTCTCAAAATCTGTCAGTGTCATGAATGTACAAATGGACCATTAATACATAGTGTTTGGATTGGTTCTACTGCATTGTATTAGCAGGAAAAGCTATGATGAGGTGAGAGGTTCAAAGAAGCAGCCTGGTGGATTTGGCAGTCCAAAAGTGATTCCCCCTGCATACAAGCCAGTGGCTGCACCCATCTGCTCGTAAGCCCAGTAACCCATTTCCTCATGCTATCTCTACTCTAATTACATTATAAAATTTCTTTTGTAATTTTAGATTTGACCATTTTGAAACCCATAATTCAATATTGCATTGTTAGCAACTAGGAAAACCTAATGACGGATGGTGCCTTGGCTTGGACTGCCAACTAGACTCACAATGTTGTGTTATAGTTGACCTGCTTTTATGATGATGATGTAGCACTGGAGAAATGAGATCACAATAGACAACGAAGTCAAAGCAGAACCAACCAGAGCCCCTGCTCGCACGCAATTATGACACTTGTCCATCTGACCATTTAAGGATGTAATCAGTTCCGAGTCAAACGAAAAGCAATCTCCAAGTCAAACATTATTGTTGGCTCATCTTAGATTTTGATAACTGCCTGCTAGTTAAGCTAGCAGAATGACAAAGTTTTAGTAAACAACAGTGTTCGTACATGATTTACAATCTGAATCAATACACACCCTTCCTTTTCTGGGGTTCTCCTTTTTCTCTCTTGATTCTCTGTTCCTGTTGTCGCTGATAAAAACATAAATAGGTGCTTCTACTCCTCAATTTGGCTCGCCGACCCTAGAGTATTCGATTTTGTGTGCTCTGATCCAAAGCCTATTCATTACTGTACTTGGTTATTAGCAACTAAAATCTAACTGTAAAAATGCAGGCGGTGTGGGAAGTCATTCAGGCCAGAGAAGTTGCACTCGCACATGAAGTCCTGTAGGGGATTGAAGACCCTGACGAAGGCTGCTTCAGCTTATGTTGAGAAAACACCGTCACCTTCACATATTTCAGTTTTCAAAATCTGAGGATGGCTATTTCTTGAATAAATGAATGTTCAGTTGTAAATTTCAGTAGTACGATGTCCAAAGCATGAACTTCTTTACAACTTCTGCTGTTATTTGTGTAGAGTAAATATAGGGACGTGGTTTGGCATTTAAGAAATGGCGATTACATTATTATTTCTTCTAAAAATTAATCACTCTAATAAGATTCCATTTTAAATACAACTTAGGGAAGCATCACTTCGTCCACAGACACTGCTTGCACTTTGCTTGTATTATGAGTGAACTTTGTGAAGTTAGCATAATTTATAAAACTTGACTGACAACAGATGCAAATTGTTCAAGCAATCTATTGCATACAAACGCAGTACAGGTTACAATATTTCTGGCTGGCAGGTTTCCTAACACTAGGTCAACTATGGTTTCACCACCTGAGAAAATGAAATATTCTAAACGTGCAACTTCTCAAAAAACTCATATAACAATGTCTATCTGAAACCAGAAATTGGTCAGTTTCAGTGTCATTTTGTTAGCTCTCTTAGTATTTACCTACTTACCAGTAACAGTAGCAGAATCAACATATTCTAGCAGGAATCCATATAATTTCTTTTTCAAGCCTTCTATCCTCGCATCAACCTTAAGCCCACCCCCGACCAAGTCATCCAGCCACTGGTTCACCCTTCTAAGCTGCCCAAGAAAACCTGCAATCTCAGAAATTTTCCCTTCACATAACCCAAAACCGACATTTAATGAATCCTCCATATACCTCAAGAACCATTCACGGGAATCTAACAGCAGCTTTTCTGCTAAACTTGCGGTCTCCTTTAATCCACTTCCCCTGGGACAATCCCTCCTTTCAGGATTCACTTTCTTTACAGATGCAAGATGTCGTTTTGAAGATGGCACCCGCTTAGCACTTAAATCTGGTATATAGTTGCTGTGGTTTCTAAGACATGGTTTGTTTTGAGGCAATTGATTCTCAGAATTCAATTCCTCTTGAGAATTATCTAGGATGACATAATAACATTTTTCAATATCCAAAACTCCGCTCTTCTCTGGCTTCTTTAACAAACTGAATTTGGAAAGATTAGTCTGCATAGCAGCATGAACCCAAGATTCTGCATTAGTATTTCTTGAACTTTTACGGACATCAGGAAATACACGCTGCAGGCTATCATAATTGCTTGCTTTAGTTTCAAGAAGACTTGCATCACTGAGTAAAGAATTAACAATCTTTGCTGATCTCTGAATGTTCTGGTAGAGGTCTAAATATTGCTCCACTAATGGTCCTGAAGACGCTGATTGTGCAGACTCATGCAGTTCTGCAAATGATCTGGAGGAAAAAGAAAAGTACTAAGCTGGAACATGTGCTAAAATGGATAAAAGGAAAAGCTTTTCATATAAATTTCAAGTTGGCAGATAAACCCTTTCTTGTGGTTTCTTTTTTAATCTAGTTTCCTCCCTACACAACTCTCTGTATTAATCTCCAGAGGATGCCAGATCTACTGCATCCTCAGGCAAACCAGAGATGCATATAACACCTGAGTTTTAGTTGCTTTACTCATTTTTCTTAATCCCATTGAACTATAGATGGAGAGGCAAGAGAAAAATTGATTTCATTGGGAAGAGAACGTAGGTGCTGACGCCCCCTAAATCATCTCTTATAAAGGCTCTTTCCATATTCTACGGCCTAACATTATCCAAGTGATAACGCGGTTCAAAGCTTTGCACCATTATCCAAGTGATAACCTTCATCAATACTTGTTAAGTTAGCGTCAAAGTGATGGCAGCCAGAAAGCAAAATCTCATTAGTTAGATTAAATTTTTAATCAAATGACTATGAAAAAGGAGGGTTGGGAGAGGGGTTGTTCATAAGTCAGCAACAATATTGCAGGATATGAAAAACATTAGGACATCAACAAGTTGACAATAGAAAGAAAGAAAAGGCCAAAGGATTCATACTGCATGCAATGAATGACATTGTCAGCAGCCGATGCTTCTTCAAGTGCACGTGCAGCGGCCAAAACTGCAGCATTCTTACAACATAGAGTTTCCTGAAACCACCAAGAACATAAGAACTGAGTTCTTTTTTCTGATGAAAAGACAATTTATATAGAACTTGGCAACGGTACAATCTGGAACAGAAACTCATAATCCGGTATAACTTCAGACCTTTCCGAGATGGTGAATGGCAGGAGGAATTGCATCCCAGGAAATCCTATATTTGGACCAAGTTTTGGAAATCAGGGGAACTTGAACCAGTCGGCTAGGAATAACATGGTCAGTAGCTGACTTCAAATCTTTTTTCAAATGCTTGACACTTGCAATGGATGAAGAGATCCCATTCTTGGTTTTCAATGGGGAAAGACTCAAAGATAGGCGCCTGTGTGACGAGTCAACCTTGGAAGGAACCTTCTTATCGGAACGAACCTACACAGAAACAGGTAATAAACACCGACCGCGTGGCGGAAAAATAGATAAATGGTTCGTGTGGAAATTGGTATGGAGCTTGCAACAATTAAATACCAATTCTGCTTTCTTTCTTTTTTTTTTTTTTTTTTTTTTTTTTTTTTTTTTTTTTTTTTTTTGGCTTTTGGTGTGTGCTTGTCTAGCGGCCAACCACGTTTCGAAGTGGCACTGGACACAACAAGCACAATTGTATGTTTCTGGGCGTAGATAAATGGACCCTTAAATTGAGAAGCAAATGACAGGAATATGATTTCAGTAAACAAATGCTTGTTGTTTCTCATTAAAACAATTACTTTCTTCCTATGGATTATCCCGTCTACTCCATAGTAAGAGTATGATGTGATTGGGATACCTTCAACTAGGCAATGAATGTTAGTATATGAAGCAAGTATGAGTTCAATAAATTTGAAGCAGAAGAGCTAGTCTTTAGATAAAAGAAAATGTTTGTGGGAAAAAAAAAAGTGAAGTGAAGAATGCAGTTAGTTGACACTACTAAATCAAAATAATGCATGGTGTAGTGACTCTCAAGGAAATTGAAAACAGGAAAGAAGGAGAAACGAAAACATACAGTTTTTGATGATTTATTTAGAGGAACAGTTTTTGGGGTGGGAGTTTGGTGCTCCCAGATCCTCCTAGCAGAGTCCAAACTCAATCTCCTCGTCTGATCCAAAGAATCCCTTTTCATGTGCTTGGAATCCTCCGCAACAATGCCTGATTTCTTGACAATACTGTTAATCTTGGATAGTCTTTGTCGACTTAACAACTTCTTCTCCTTGTCCTTGTTAAAATCAGTTGATGTAACATAACTAATACTACTACTGGGCAAAGAATCGCTGGACACCAAATCCTTAGGATTCCCAACGCAAGGCCTTCTCTTATTGGGCACAGGCTTCAGCCCACGAAGAACAGGAACAGGAGAGCCAGAGGCAGGAACCTCGAAGCGCGAAACATAAACGAATTGGCCCAGTTGGATTTTGTCACTGTAAATCAGGTCCAAGTCCTCATCAGAGATGGAGGCGTAAGCGGAATGCAGAGAGTCTGAGACTTTCACGAAGAATCCTCGGCTCTGCCAAGGATCATTTGGGACTCCAGAGAGAGAGGGCACGATCTCTATAACTTGAAGAAGGGCAGAGCGGTGCTCTCCAGTGACTCTCACATCCTTGTTGCCAGCGCTCTCCAGCAGCTTGGATAGCAACCCAGGCGTGAGAGATGCCATGTGAAACACCTATGCTGCGTTTTGCTCCTTTTGGTTTTTCGCTAGCACAGCGGTAGTAATAAGATTGCAACAGAATCACCATATCCCAATGCACAGAGAGAGAGATGATCCTAGAAAGGTGCAGTCGCAATCAGAATCTCAATGCTGCGACTGAGTGCAATGACATGGGAGAGGGTGCAAAGCTGTTTTGGCAGAATGGATGGGACACATGTCAAAAGGAGATCATGTGATTCCTGAGCTTGAGATTTCCGCACAAGTGAAAGAAAGCGCAGGCTCCTAGGTTTATCCAGCAGATAAGAGAAACAGACAAAGCTAGCTAGCTAGTAGCAAGAACAAAAGATTTATTCCAACTTTTCATGCTTTTTTTTAAAAAAAAAATAGAATAATAAATTAAAAGTTTGATAGAATAATACTATTTTAAAAATATTTGCTAAAATATACATTTTTATCTCTTAATGTTTTTGAAACAAAATATTTACTAAATATTTTTATACCAACATGTTTTTTTGGGAAGAAAGAGACCAATGTCAGCAAAATACCCTTCTTGTAGCCTAATATGTCGCTTGTGATGCCATTCTTTTATTTTGTGTACTACATAGTAGTTTCTTCTCTCTTTTTACCCAGAAGAACAATGTCAGCAAAATGCCCTTATTGTAGTGGCATTTTCCTCTGCAGAATCAAACCAATCAGAATGGGAAGACAAGTTTCAAACTGAAGGTTTTGTGAAAGAACAGGGAGAGAAAGAGGAAGTACCATTGTGGATAATTTATGTAAAAGCAAGGAAGATACTAGCATAGTTGCCGAACCTAATTTAAAAATTGACCAATTGAAGAACTAGGTTACAAGTAAACTGGTTTAATTTGGATTAATCTAGAAAAATAAAATGAATTAATTACTATTTTATCATCAAGGAAACGCTTTGGGTCGGAAATGAAAATAAAATTTTGAAATCACATGAAGTTTTTTATTCTATGTTAAGTGGGTGTTTGATATTGCACAGGTGATATTAGTTTTGTAGTGTTTAGTTAGGCATGAATCATACTTTTTATAATTATGAATTTCATCCAATAACTAAGGTTGAATCTCAATTTCTGAAAAATAATTTTTATTTTTTTTAAAAGCATTCTCTTTCAATTTTCACTAACAAAAATCATGGAAAAATAAATTGTTAAAAAAATACAAAAGCAATTCATAAATCTAAAATTCTTGTCCATCGTTGCTAAGCATTGCTGAGATTTATTATCATCATTAGTCCTAAAAAATTTTTAGCCTTGATATTCCTTTTTGTTCTCTTCTCTCTTATTAATATTCATTTAACTTGCCTCCTTAGATTTCTTTGAATTTACTTTTCTAGATTTATTCAACAAAAAGCAATTTTTAGTGATTATGTAAGCTCATTTGTTAAAGAATAAGCTCTGTAATGGATTTTGTTTTGCAAATTCAAATTTTATTTTCTTACACCTTTTTTTTTATTTTTCTTCGAAACAGATCAAATTTAACTTAGATTTTCATGAGATATTTCCTAACAATGTTTTACTTCTTTTTTTTTCCCATAATAAATAGTAAAAATGTGTTGGGGAAACTCAAGTGACAAAAAGTTGTAACAAACACTAACCATTAGTTTCTTTCTTATCTCCATCTCAAAATTCATTTTAATTAACTAGAAATTTTAATTTGCCTGATGCTTAATTAATTTATTTTGATTGTAAATAAATGTCAATATTGTTAATTAACCACGTACCACTGCATTTACATGCAACACAAATGTTTTGTTTACCATTGTATTTTATAATTGATATTCATACCTGTTCTCGAAGATTTTGAATAACTTATATTTTATAGAGTTTTGTATGTTTGATAAGTTTATTAACATGGGTTTTATCTACTTTAAAATCAATTTTCTTTTTTTGGCTAAATGGTTGATGGTTGGATTTTGTTGTTTTTTTTTATATATATATATATAGCTGAAAAGAAGTTGAATATTTTGTTTTGTGAGAATTGAATTAGGGTATTGTATAATTGATGAAGATTTGAGGGTTTTTTTTTTTATAAAGGAGTAAATAATCATCTTGTTTATAATAGATAAAGTCTTGAATTACATATTGAGTTTTATTTGTGGAAAACAATGTTTCTTGTAATTGGATAACCTATAGTTATAGTTAAATCAAAGCAAAGGAAGTTGCATTAATTATTTTAAGCATTTGTCTTTAATAAAGAAAGCCTAATGGCCTCGTCTTATCCGAACTTTGTTTATTGGTCTGTGTTATATGACTTTGATGCCAGCTTTTTTATATGTCCCTTTTGCTGTTAGTTTAAAATTTAAAAGGGAAAATAAGGTATTGTAAAAAATATCTAATGATGAAATAAAACTCAAATTCACTTAAAAAAATTAACTAAAACAATTGTTATTCCAATAATAACCTCAATAAATATATAAGATAGTAAGTTTCCAAATTTAAAATCCAAATACTAGAAAGCGAGAGAAAAAATTAAAAAAGGACACTATTAAGTTAAGTGTCCTTACATCTTGAGAATGAATAATTATAGTGGAGTGTCTTATTGTGCGAAAGCTATTTATCCCAATATATAAAGCAAGCATGTGACATGCTTTTAGTCATCTTTATAATTACCCTCCACTGCTTGTTGTTTTTGTTTTGTTTTGTCCTATAAGTCATTAAAACTATATTATAGCAACACCTCATGCTTCCATTTTTTCTCAAATAAAGGTTATTAAATGGTATCTTGTCAATTATTCAATAAACTAAAGTATTTCACAACATGAATTTTATATATTTTTTTGTTTTTCTTATTATTTATAATAAGTATTTTAGTGTTTGTGTTAATACTGATTATTGCATATACATATGATATCATTGCTTGTTTTTTTTGTTAAATATTTTAAAAGATACAATGGAAGATTTTGAATCTATGGATAGGGCTGCTTAGATAAAGAAAATGTTACATACATTTTGTAACCTGTGTATTAAGGCCATTCACATGGGAATGAGACCTAATATTCATTTCCAATAAATAGGTTAGAAATTTCTTATAACATCATTCAAAGAACAAACCGACAATGCACTTACTAAAACACAATTGAAAAACAAATGGGATGGATGCAAAAAGGATTGGAGGATAGAAATAAAGCTAATTTTTGAAACTTATATAGGTTAGAGTAGTGAATTGTAAATAATTTCGGCTAGTGACTAGTGGTGAAAAGTAAAAATTTAGGTTAGTCTTCATGATCTTAACAATTTTATTTGTAATTGTCATGTTTTATAAAAAAATTTACTACATGATGTTGCATTAATTATTTTTATTTCTTTTATGTAGAAAATTAAAGGAGCTAAAAAATTCAGACATGCTAGTATTGAACCGTCTTTGAAGTTCAAATTTGACAGAGTGTATTCCAAAATTTTAGGCACCATCATTAGGAGTACTTGATGGCAATGATGTCAATCGACATAAGCAATATCAATATTGATGGTGCTAATTTGGAAGAAATAAGCGATGATTTGAAGGAGGATGAGATTCTAGTTTTGGAGAGTGACATTTTTCGAATGGTTAGCAGCATGAATATGTCGAGTAGCAGCAACACAATGAGTAGTGGCAAAAGAAAAAAAAAAGAAATTCCTCTGAGGTTTGAGCTAAAAAGAAAAAAGACATCTGGAATTGGCGTTTAGTTATTGTCAAGGTGGATCTCGACTAGGGGTGATTCCACTTCTTTGCATATGGATTAGCAAGGTTGTATTATTCCTGAGGTTATGATTGAGTTCCACTTAATTCCTAGAGTTTTAATTAATGATGATTTTCATAACTTTGCTACAGAGTATCTGAGTTTAAAAAGGAAGAGAGAAATGTGGTCTAGTATGGATGGTCTTAAAGAGAAGTTGAAATGGTTGGAGAGAATGTATGTATAAAGTAAACGTGCTTAGCTGAAATGGTATGACTTTATTTTCTAAAGCATTAATTTATTTACTATGTTAAAGTGTTAGCTAAATTTAATGTGTTATGTTATTTCACATGCTTGATAATTTATTTATACATGTTTACATTTGTAGAATAATAAGCTAACAGTTTTTAAAATAATAGTTTCCATTTGCAGAAATTGGTTTCATTTGTTGTATTATTCAACATTTAAAATTACGAGATGTGGGCATATCCGTTTCGACTGTTTTTAATTGTTTTTTTTTTCTAAATTTAAATGTTGTTGTAGTTATGAACTTTTTAAATGAGTCATTGGATTGTTAGGTTGCCTATATTTGTCTTTATTTAGATTGTAATTTAAGAGACTAACTATTGTTTCAAAATAATTTTTTTTAATGAATGTTGTATTATTACAATGTTAAGCTAGATTTTGTTTACTTTAATGTAAACATGTAATATTTTAGTTAGTATAACTATTTACCATAAATATATATGATACTTTTCCTCTCTTTTTTTATCAATCTTTATTTCCATAACTCATTATGTATGTCTGTTGTGAATATTGGTGAAAATAAATATTACAAAATGCAATGTTTTAGATGGGCAATTTCTCAAGAATTTTTGTTGTGGTGTGTGACTTTGAGAAAAAAAAAAATTAGGGAAAGTAGACTTGTATAATAGTAGATTTATTACTCAAATAAGATGTTTTCCAACATAATAAAAAAAGAAAGGGGAAAATGAGGAAAAAATTGAAGACAATGAAAAATGGCTAAAATAAGAAAAAAGCTTAAAAATAAAAAAATAAATGGTACAAAAGGAAGGATAATAAAGGCTGCAAGTGAACGTCTCTTTGACAAAAACTGCTAATAAAATTAGTAAGATAAAAGCAACAAATTCAAGTTGTTATCCTGATGACTAACATGTGAAAATAATATATGTGATAATATTTAGAGTATAAATTTTGGTAAGTAATGGCTATACAAACAAAGATTCAAAAAATATCGAAATAAAGAATCTTAAATAATAAAAAAAAGAACAATAACTTGCCATAAATCATGTGAAAGTAACAAAATGTTTAATATGAAAGCACATTCATATTTAATTTTTCCAACTCATTTATGTCAGAACTTGTTCAAACAATTATAGTGAAAGCAAAATATATACAAAAAATATGTAGATAAACTTATTTCAGCAATGTCAATAAAAAAATTGAAATTCTTCATATAAGGCATTATTTACTTCTTTTTATATAAGAGGGGTTGCTTCTATTCAAAACAAATATCTCAATTGAATTTGTTATAAGCAAGTGAAACACCT